CAAACATAAAATATATTTTTTAAAATTGATAACAGATTAGGAAAGTTTAAAATAGTTCAATGAAAGCAAACTTATACAAGTTGGATTATTTAGAAAATAATATTTTTCAGCTTTACAGTTGCATGGGTGAATAGCCATGACTTCATTGGTGGTCGGATGCTTTTCATATCACACACATTTCAGTTATTTGGTTGCTTCCTGATCCTCCACTGATTAGTAGTCAGTAAAAATAAAATGAAACAAGGAAATATACAAACCAGCCTGTTTTACCCTTTGGGAATAGATTTGGCCAAATATCATTAGTTGAGTGCAGAGAATAATAATATTGCTAAAAAAGACTAAAGTCATTGAGATGATCTCTGGTCTTACTGTGGAAAATTAGATATTAAATCAGGCCTTAAAAACTTCCAGAAGTTAATATAACTCATAGAAATTAGCTTTCTTTTATTACAGTGCCCCTTATTAAATGACCATTGATAAACGGGTACCAGTAGAACTGGGCTGGATTGTCTAGTGTTAACATACTTACCCATTCCTCACAGAATCCTGAGTCTTTAACAGCTCTGCCCAAACTTAGTAAATTTAGTATGAATTTATATTTATTTTTAGCAATAGTTACAGTGTCTCACGTATTGTTTATTTCCTATCTGAAGCCCTGTTTGGCTACATAACCTGACTGTGGGCAGGCTTTTCACAGTGCCATGTAGTAATACATCCGTATAAGTGATGTTAGAATTCTTCAGGGGTTTAAGTTTGTTACAACTGGAATTCTGGTGCTTTACTATGCTCAGTATGTCTTTGGTAAATTGAAATAAGATGGTTTTGCTTTCAGAAATTTAAACTGTTTCAGGAAGTTTTTAAAAAAGCCAATCTAGACCACAATATAATGGACTACAACGATGACCATCTTTGTTAAGTGTGTAAAATGTGCCAAGTACTTCTGAGCTAAACCATATGGAGTAAAGAATGAGAGCGTGTGAGAGCACAGTGAGCAGTCCTGTTGGATGATGACCTATACACTATGCCTATGACAAGCTCTTCTCTTAAATATATGTTTTATCATTCCACTAACTGAACTTAGTTAATTCCATAGCATGTGTTTAGTAGTAGCCAACTGATTCTTTGCATAATTTTAGAAAAGTGAAACTTCTGTCTGAGACTTATCATTCTCCAATTGTAGAAAGAAACATTTCTCTCAAATTTAGCTCCTATTTAAACCATCTCCTTCAGTTTAGCCCTCAAGTAGTTCCTGGATGATGATTTCTAAGCAGTACTGGGTAAAGGTTCTGCTGCCACCCTTTCCCATACTAGGATCTGACACATTTTCTTCTCACAGCAGGAGGGAGCCCAGGGAGGTAAAAGGAATTTCTTTGGAAGTTTATGCTGCCTCCTTGAAGAAGCAGGTGTGGCCTGCCTAACTGGACCTTCTCCTTGAGCTTGAGGGATTAAGCCAGGACCTTTCACCTTAATATCCCCACAGCTGCTAACCTCTTGGCTTGCTTGCACCTATACTGTCCTGAATCAAAAGCTGCTGAAATTAGGGGCTAAGGATTTAGCTCAGCAGCAAAAGCACCTGCCTTGCAAGTGAGTGGTCGTGAGTTTGATCCCCAGTTCTGATAAAAACATGAAAATAAATAAAAATTAAAATTAAAAAAATCTACTGAAATTAGTAACATTCTCCTATTTTGCATATTTATATTACCAAAAAAATCTGACAATGAGTAATACCTCGCCCCTGTTGAATTCTGTTCGAAAAGGACATCCCAACATTATTGTCTGACCTTGCCATGAATGTGAGATGCCAGAGATGTTGTTCCCATTTTTCAGGTGAGGCAACACTGCTTTGATCCTGGAAACAGAAAAGCAGCTGTGATCATACACGAGACTGTGCCTGACTTTCCTTGAATCAGTCCTGAGATTTCTTTTAGTCACCATAAAATTTAGAAATGACAAAAACAAAGGCACAGATCAGTATTTGTATTTAGTAGCTGCTGCTGCTGCTTTTGGTTTCTGACACACACAAAGGGAGCACACTCCTGCTCTGTCACACCCAGTGTTTGGCATGAAGCCTTGCAGATAGTAACTCTAGGAATACTGAGATTTTTCTTTCAGTGTATCCAGGGGAGATGAGCTTTTATCAAAGTAAAACATTTCAAGAGAGGAAAATAGAACTAGTTCATTTACATTACTATTTAGAAAAACAATCATTTCTATTGTTCTGTCCTTTTTTCACTACCTTTTACACCCATTCTCTAATATTGAAATCAGAAATTATTTGTATAGCGTGTGTCTAAAAATGGAATCTTAAAGAATATTTGCCAGTAAAGATAAGGTCTGAAATTTCACTCTGAAATCAGATGAACTTGTGCAGGCTACTTGGAGAATGGAGCTGAGACAGGAAATGCCAAGGGGCTGACTGGCGAGGGGAGGAGTATGTACACATCACCCTCCAGTTAAGCACAGGGGAAGCGTCTAATCCCACTGCAGAGTCCCTGTGCATGTCCGTGTGTGTGGGACGATTTATGTTCATGAGCTCCCTTTGAAAAATATTTCCTGAGTGAAATGGCACTGTTTAAATATACCTACTTTAAAGTTTGCTCCCAGTTTAGTTTAGTTTTAAATATTTCAAAACAGTTCCTTTGGAAAAAAGAATAAAATTGAATACATTATTTACACTGAGTACAGAAACAATTTGCTTTCTCCTTTTGGCTAGAACGTTTCTAGCATTTACTCCCTGTACTAAGATGATACAAACGACAGTCTCAAACTTATTACCGGAAGTATGAACATAGTGTTGTTCGTTTGATTTTAGTTTTTTCTGTACTTTGTGGATGGGGCAGATTTCTAGAGAGTCATTAAATTGAGTGATTTTTCTAACAGTTATATAAAGGCTGAATTCCCGTTCCTCATCTCCTATATCTTACTTCACTAAAAAGTCTGAATATAACCTCTGAAATACAACTTACTGAATTTGGTTCAGTACACTGAACTGACCTTAGAGATGATTTTGTTGCGTTACTGTGATGTTTTTGTGTATTTCATAGTGATACTTGTTCTCATGGGATTTTATCAATTATGTTTGATTCATAGAGTTGCTGTCCAGCAAAAACTGTCGATCAATCAATCAATTACCATTTTCTCTTGAGTCTTTAACACATTGTTAGTATCTTCTTTCTTGAAAATTGCAGTTATTAGGCCTACAAATTTACTTTATTCTCAGCAGCAGGACATCAACTTCACATCTATTTCATGGTGCAAAACAAAGCATTAGGCTTATTTTTGTAATTTCCCCCTCCCATCTGAATCATCACAGTTTAAGTATCATTTATTTCTCTCAAGTGGTAGTCTTCGCTAATTATGTCAGATGCAGCCTGGATTAAATGGGAGGAGGGGGTTGGAGAACAGGCAGAGGTGATTAAATCTGATCATGCTAGGTGAGTATTCTTGAAGAACTGTTTTTCCTTTGTGTTCCTTTCTCTTTGAGTAAGAGCATATGGTAGAAATAAAACTATAAGCATATTTTTTGCATTTGGGAAACATGCAAAGTATTGTTTTAATCCTATTAAAACACAAATTTCCTAACTTACTATGAACTCTTTTATTTGTTTTTCATCAAAGAGGTGGTATTTATGTGATCTCAAAGTTGAAAGAAAAGCATAGAAATCAATCCTTGAGAATTTGACTTCTAGATAAACATACAGTAAATTCCTTTCCTTCCTTTTCTTATGGAGAAAATCGTGTAGGGGATAATACCTCTGTGTTTTTACAAGACCCAGTATCTACATGGGATGAGCCTGAGTCCTCAGAGAAGTAGACACTGTTATTCCTTAGAAACAAATTACAGTATTATTCCCAGAATGCTGCTGATATTTATACTGAACATAAAAGCAACTAATTATCTAATTATCTATTATTCTAGAGTCTATTATAATAATACCCAATTGTTTTTGTTTAAGCACAAAGATTATACTTTTTCAGTTCTTACTTCTTCAAGTAAAGAGTATGCTTCCTAATTTAAAATAGTTGTTAGTTTTCTTAACCTACAAAAAAGCATTTCCTTTCCTTTCAGTTAAAAATCACTTGCGTTTTTCTTTTAACCCAAGATAGAAAGGGTAAATATGTCCTGATCTATGGACAGAAAATACAGTATTGTATTTGTCATTTTTCATTATGCTTTTTTATGCCCAGCAGATACATTCAGTAAATTTGAGGCTCACTGCAGACTTAGAATTACACTTTGTTGCATGTTAAACTAATTGAGTTGAATATTTTTACGTGCTTTTGTTTCACTCCAGGTAGAAATTTTAGATTATTCATCTCGAATGAATTTTAAATTATTTAAACTTTGTACTGTTATTGTACTACCCTCGGAGACCATTCTTAAAAAACAAACAAATCTTTTCCTGCTAGACATTACAGCTTTAATTTCTTTTGGACACAAATACCATTTATCTTGTATTTTTCAGGAAAACATATGCTTATGTTGTTTATTGTACTTGGATAGATTTTCAAATTATTTCTACTTTTCTTTAAACAAGCATATTTGGAAATTGCGATAGCATAAGATGAAATATCTTGTGCCTTTTAACTCTTGATGGATGACTACTATCTCACCCTGTAGTTTAAAATGCCTACATGAAATTTTCCTGATATGAATCATAACGTATATCCAAGACAAATGTGTGGGGAATTTTCCCCCCAAACACTCTGAAATTTCAAATACCTCTCTCCTTATTTTGCCGAGCAACAATCTGCAACTAATTTTTCTCAGGAAAATTGAATCTGTTACTGCTTAATATTCCTACCAGTTTGAAAAATGTGGCTTATATTGGCATCAGAGCACTAATTTACATATATTGGGATAACAAGAATGCACACCAGAAAAGATCAACATAAAATTAAATGCAAAAAAAGCTGTTTTCCTTCCACAGCCACTCAAAGTAAAGCTAGTGGAGAAATTGATAAGCATCTGCCCTGAATGTGTCGCTTGTTTCTTATAGGTGAAGTGTGACCAATATTGGCCCAGCAGAGGCACAGAAACCCATGGACTCGTCCAGGTGACACTGCTCGATACTGTGGAGCTGGCCACATACTGTGTTCGAACATTTGCACTTTACAAGGTTTGTGTTTTGTCTTTTTGTCTTCTCTTTTATTTAAAGAAAACTTCTTTTCGAGAAATAAAGTCTCTCCAGCCTTTACTTAAATCTTGATCCCACTGGCAACAGTAAAGAGTGAAATAATTCTTCCATTATCACCCACCAATTCTTCTCCTAGGCTGGCAATTTATCAGTAAATATGAAACTTGTGCTCTAAACAAAAGTCGCAACAAATAAAAAATAGATGAAAAGGCACTAGTTCTTTTTGTAAAATATAACAGAAGCATTCCTGATGGTTAACCCTGAACAATAGATTGCTCTCACCTAAGAGCTTTATCTTCCTGAGCAGCTAGTTGTCATTTACAGACAGCTTGGAGTTTATATCTCCAAAGTATGTGGCTCCTAAAAGGATGTGGAGGGGGGGGTATTAAAGGGGTGCCTCTTGGGGGTATGGCATCATTACCACGAGGTGGAAAGAACAGACCTCAGCCTGTGTTCCTGTATCACAGAATGGTTCAAGTGAGAAAAGAGAAGTGAGACAATTCCAGTTCACCGCCTGGCCTGACCATGGTGTTCCAGAGCACCCCACGCCTTTCCTGGCTTTCTTACGGAGAGTCAAAACCTGTAACCCTCCTGATGCAGGTCCAATGGTCGTGCACTGCAGGTAAGGGCCACCAAAGCCTTTGTTCTTCTTGCAATCTGAAGCCTTCAGTTAAGCCATTACTTATTTGGTGTTCTCTTTGCAATTTGTTGATATGCTAGGGATTGACCCTATAGCAATGGGAAGGATTTGATAAAGGTGTCCATTCTATCATCTCCTTGGGGTTAAATCAATAAATTCAATATTAAGTGTATTCATGGCCATAAATATATGTTTAAAAAGAATAACATCGTGTATTGAGGATGTAATTGTAATTACATATTGTAATTAGGGTGAAGTGTCATCTCCTGTGTTGAGGAACATATTTAAAACATTTATATGAATTGTTTTGACTACAGTTCCAGGGATAATATCTTATTGCCTAAAGACAAATGTCTTTTATGCATTATTAATATCAATTCACAGATAACCAGTATGCTAAGTAGATCTTTTAAATTTAGTTAATAAAATGTATACAAAGACCTATTTGGAACAAGCTATATACTCAAAGATAATGATCCTGTATTTTTCTTTAAATGTATAATTTTTACTTAATTCTAGCTCTACAAAACCACTCATACTCTGTTTAATGTTCATACATTTTTAATATTAACTGGTTTCTTACAGTTGCCTGAGTTCTTCTCAAGTATCACTACTAACATTTAAGATATTTAGAGTCTATATTTATTACAATATAAATGCATAGCCGACATAATCTCTTTATTGTTATTTATAACCTCAATAAGACATGAAAAAATAGGTCTTTTAAAGAGGTAAGTAAATTTTAAGCATGGAAATTTCTTTAAAAAAAAAGAAAGCATCTATCATAAAACACTCGTACTAAAAATTAATAGCATAACTCTCTTTCACAACCCATAACTACTCTAGCAGAATAAAGTAGACCCTCACAAGGAGGCCTTTTTTCCAAGAAAAGTGGGGACACTGGGTAGATCAGAATAAATGCTGTAAATATTCTATATGTTTGGTTAAGAGGATGTAAGTGAGACAATACAGGATCTGACTTGGTATTAATAGTCAGAAAGAAGATGGTGACATATTGGTGACTTTTTTTCTAGTTGTTGCTCTCCTAAACCTAACATAGGGAATATTCAGGATTTTTATTAGTTTAAGCAAATGCTTCCATGTTACTACAGCAGATTTCTGGTTCTCCAGCATGTTGGTTCTAGATCAGGCCTTAGTTTGGCCAGTTTGGGCACTCTGTTATATAAACATTTTTACAGTCTTCAAAGAAATAATGTACCTGGTTACATTGGCACAAGTTGAACTCACTTGTATATAAAGATTATACATGCATCACATGAAGTGTTTTCAGATAAAGTTTGCCAAAGGTAGAGAAACAGGAAATTTGGATTCATAACAAATGTTCTCATATGCTTAATTGTGAGAATAAGGTACACACACTTTCACACACACCGTTAATTATATATGCAGTAATAGAAATAAAACTTAGGGAAACTAAACTTGGAAGTTCTTGAAAAAAAGACCATTAGGATGTTTATATTGTATTTTGAAATATAGCATATTCACTCTCTGAAAATAAGCATCCATTAAAGATAGGCATAAGAAAACTATGATCTGTTGATAAGTTTAAAATGAAATTTGTCTTTGTGGATCATGAACAAGGCATATACTTTAGGCATTTTGAGAGATCCAAAAAGGTTTGCAAGCAAGTACATACAAAAAAAAAAAAAGTACCAATAATGCCTTATTTTGAGCATATGCATAACACACACACACACACACACACACACACACACCTGTGTTATTCCAAGTCATCTGGAATTGCCGTTGAGAGATTCAGACTGCTCAGGAGAAATGAGGAAATAAAGATGAATGTGCAGAGCTAATAGCTGCCGACATTTGGGAGTGCAGTGCCTGAGGCTCTGGAGAAGCTGTGTATTGAAACAAACAACGTAAGAGTAGGTATGTTGATGAAAGAAATTTGTTATCGATTTCAAAACAATAAGGGAAAAATACACCATAAAATGAACTCTGTGAAATGATCTGTGTTTGCCCATAGATAATTTCACGTATCTGGTTAGAAATGTTCGCCTCTTTGTTTAGGAAAAGTCATGTCAGAATAATCAACGTCTAAACTATCACAAATCCCGGACTTGGATATAAATGTGTTAAAACTTGAATCTGATTTTTCTGATAGAGCAGCAGATTAAAGTCATTTTAAATAGCAGTTACTCGTGTGAGGTTTCAGAAATGTTAGTTTAGAAGCCATCCCTAAATTGTAAGAAAGTATGCAAAAATCCTAAATAGCCAATTCGCTAAAGGAGATTGATCACAATTACCACGATCATGTTACAAATAATCACAAAAATATTCTGAAATATATAATCTATATTTCACATTTTTGCTTCTCTTCCAATGTACTCAATTTTTGCTTCTCTTAATGTAGCTAAGAGAAGCACTTGTATGGTGTGTGGTATTCATATTATTAAGTAACCAGATGTTTATACATATCAGAATTGTTCAGGTTTTTATAAGGGTTTGTATTTTCCATCATAGTAGTTCCACCAGGTTTTTTTTTTCACAACTGAGATTTTAATGTTGTAAATTAGAGAGAAATCTTCCAGACAACATACCTGTTTTTTATATAAAGTTGGAAAATAATTGAACCCTTTAATATGATCCTGTTGGAGACTCACAGGGTTCTCCATGCCTCGTAGATAAAGTCCCAAATTAACATTGCATTCACAGCCCTGCATACTTCATTGCTTCTCTTTGGGCCGCTTATGCTAGCTGTGGGTTCCAGTAACTGTGCCTGCATCTCTTGATCTCAGCAGACTATTTGGTGGAGCATTTCAGTCACTGCCCTTCTCTACCTGATGATATTCAATCCTGATTCATAATCCATCTGAAATAACACTTCCTACGTACATTGCACATGTTTCAAACTGGGCTCTCGTGATTGTGTTGATACACATCGCAGTTTTTAAAAGCTGTGAGCATTTAAGCAGGAGTACACTGTCCAGTGTTTACATTTCCCCTGTTGTTTCATCCCCATACCAGTTCCTCCATTTATGGGATGGCTTCCTATTATGGACATCTGATTTGTAACCCAGGGAAAAACTCCTGCATTTATTTCCTGCTTTTCTTTCACAAGAAGAACTAAACACTATTTTCTGAACTTTCTTTCTCAAGTAGCTTCACACTTAGCATGTTTGACTGTGCATGCACTGATCATATATGGCTTGAGTTCATCGAGGGCATGGGCCTCGTTTAATTTGTGCCCAGTTCTTACTTCTCCATGGTAAGTGTTCAGTCATTAATTGTTCAAGGTGCTTGACTGTTAAACTATATTAATTTTTATTGATATGAACATGAGATTTTCAAGGCTGGACTGCATTTTTTTACGTAAAAGACTATATGTACATCTCTTTTCATTGCAATCTCTGTTGATGAATGCTTAAGTACATTGTCTTTAACTTATCCCTATTTCTCAGTTATCAGTTTCTACTAAATCTAGCTTCAGTGTTCTTTACCACATGACAAAATATGGGCGTACCTCCTTGCTTTTTAGCCATAATAATAATGGTAGTTGAGCATTTATTCAACATCAGATAATCTTCTTGTCATCTCAGAAGGCTTTGTATGTAAAGAGTGCTTTGCATGTGACATTGCTTTTACTTCCCAATCATTTTTGTAAAATTTAGAGGTCTATTTTCTTACCTGATCTCATGCCATTACTATTAGAAATACTATTCTGTACCCTACATAGACCAAGAAAAATTTTCAGTTCTTAGATAACTTTGTGGTTCACATCTTCCCCAAATACTGCCCACTTGGGGAGAATTGCACTGTCCATTCTTCCTTAATGACCTCATAAGAATGAACAACTCCATCCTTTCTAACTCCGTTTCACATTACTATACGTTAATCTTTTATTCTTTCTGTATCAAAGGCAGTTTATCACCTTAATCAATTTAACATAAATAATCAAAATATCAAAAAGGAGTTACTGAGCCATTGTTTTTTTCTACAAGAATTTTTTTTTTGCAATTGCTTTTTTCTACAAGGATTACTGAGCACTAAAGTTAAAAACGTTTCACCCATAAAATATTTTACTCACAAAGAGTATAAGTCCCAAGGAGATCATAGGTGATTTGTTCAAAGATAAACAATTCAAATTTCAACCTCATTGCAAAGGCCATGCGTAGCCTATTCACTTTTCTGTCCATGCTGACCCTGGCTCTTTACATTTACTACCTCATTCTGTATCTGTTGAGCAAATGTTTGTCAAAAAGATTTACTATTAAGGCTTCACAGACATCTATGTAGTACCTGAAGGGAGACATGCAGCTTCCCCTTCAGCTATAAACCTGGATTTGCAAAAGATTAAGGAGGTAAACTTTCAAGTTATTGATTAAGATTCTGTTTTCTTGGAGATTGCATATTATATTTTTACATACTAACTCAGACATCTTGGAAAAAATGTTTGCTGTCTCGTTTTTCCTTTATAGCACTGTTCTTTATGTTGCTTTATAGAAAAGCTTATGATTTAAACCACATTCTATAAAATCTATCTTCAAATGCCAAAATGATATGAAAAGTGATTGATATAAGTACTTGTTTCATGTTAGGAATAAATAAATTGGGATGCTAAAGTTGAATTGAGTTGATATAAAACATTGAAGGGTGAAACTAATGCTTGAGTTGTTATATTTTTTAAGAACAAGGGAATACATTTTCTTCCTAGGAGAAATTTATTCATTTTTTAATTAAAAGCAAAATAGAGGTAGATCCTGACTTCTGAGTCAGTCTTCCGAGTGGAGCTATATTCCGAGAGGAGTAAAACAGCCTCTGGAAGATCACTTAAATCTTTCAGATCCTGGAATCCATTGGGTCCTCAAATCTGGAATGAACAGAAACTGTAAGCAGATATAGGTCAATAGTGTCCTAGAAATATCAGTGGCCCATTAAAGTTCTCCTTCTGCCCCCAAAAATGAAATGCAACTTGGGATTGAGAGATTAAGATTTAATATTTTTACTAA